AAACCCAACCCCGATGGCAAACACCGGGAGGGGCGGCTTGTTTTACAACGTCGTTCCCAAGCGACGAAAACCCTTTGAGGGGGGGGAAATACGCATGGTTGGGGTGTTGGAAGACATGCAGTAGTAGTTGCGACGACGAAGAACAACAAACAACACGTCGGGGTTTTCCAGGGGCACCGTCTCGAAGGCGTTCGTCCTACGGGGGTACCCTAATGTTTTGCATGCAGTAGCTGTTAGACCATGGACCAAGAGCCTTCCAGAGCACGGAGCATTGTTCCCGTAGGACCCGTCACCGATGGCCAATCGTTCCTTCTTACGTTGCCAAAGGTCGCTCAAAATGTTTTCCCTAGCCTGTATCTATCCAATCGATATCACTTTCCGACTTTTCAGCCCACTTCCTATGCCCCAGTATATGCTACTGCTGTCTTCTCCGGGCTTTCCATGCCTCACAAACACCTCTTTGTAGCTCCCTTCTACCTTTCCCGGTTCAGTCATGCACATGTCTCTCTCATTTTCGTGGACTGGCATCGTTCCCGCAGGACCGATCATCGTGCATAGCAATAACTACTTATGTGGCGGCGCGCACTTCTGAGTGTCTCCAGCACAAAGGCGTAGAACATATTGGGTCTTTATTGTTTACCTGCAGTCGACCAGCAGCGTAGTCCCGGCGACGGCTAGCGCGGATACGAACTGATCCATGATGCCGCACGGGATGCCCATGAAGTTGTGGTCCGACCACTGACAACTGATCAAGCGGTTTCAGGTTCACGAGGATGAATTTTACTAAGAAAAATAAAGGGTAGATACGCCACACAATGGAATAGATTTGTGAAGGAAGGAGTAATACAACCCACACTACCTACCGAGGGTTGCGTAAGATATCACACCCCCTGGACCGATTTGCAAAGCTCGATTGCTCTGTAGCACAGGTAGGAACGGCGCCGAAAAATGGCGGCGTTGGAACCGTCTCGTCGACATCTTCCCGAAAACGTGTAGTTTGATCGCGGACTCCTCTTCAACGTGGAGCAATCGAGCTTTGAAAACCTGTCCAGGGAGTTAATTACCTTATGCGACCTACGGTACCATTTGTGCGGTTCAAGTTCTTACCACCACAGTCGCAGGTCCTCTATGAGGCGGGAGATAAAACTCGGGTGCCCGCAATAGGGTGGGTGACACTGACTGGCACAGATGGAATATTTAAGACGGAAAATACATTGAATGTGTGGTGCATACCCACCATATAAAGGGCTTACGACTGTACATCTCAAAAATCCCTCACCTCTGTAGCTATTCTTTTCCAAGTTCTTACAATCAGCGGTGGCGCGTTCTGCAAATCTGGTTGGGGTTGCTCTTACAGCGGTACGGCTTTGCGTGAATTACAGGCTCAAAGCGCTTGCAATATTACGGAGAAGAGCAGGCGCAGTCGCAGAACCGCGCCCGCTTCATTGATCGGAGCACATCCATGCATGCCCGCAACCCCAAACCCGTCGGAAACAGCTTTTAAGTTTCTAACAACACACGATCAATCAGAGAGCAAACACGGGCAAAACGTAACCTCCCTAGTGGGTGTGCCTTGTTGTTGTTCCGTGTACTACTCAATTTTCAGTTTCGGGGACGCCGCTCCACGCACAGAGGGGGTCCCTGTTCAGTGCCGGTTGAATAGTGCATATGCCCGGTATAGTGCCGGTCTTTTCGACGGGCAAAAAAATACACTAAAAAGTGTAGTACTCTAGTACCCTACATACACTGAAAGGTGTAGTGCACGTCTCACCACGAAAAATGGGGGGGCTGTCGCCATGTCGCCACTCACACACTGAACTTTCAAACCATTTGTCAGTACTTTGAATAATGCCGGTCCGGCATCGTACCGGTGAATTTTCTGGGCACATACCGGCACTAAACAGGGACCCCTCTGTATCGACGAAAACCTCCGGCGTGCTGACCGTTCCTCTCTTACCGGAGCGCCTTGTCGACGCCGCCGACCCGCACGCCCGTGATCTCTTCCAGGAGGGTCGCCATCGATACCTCCAAAGCCGCCGAGCTGGAGAGCCCTCCCCCCAGCGGTACGTTCGAAGCGATGGCGGCGTCGAAGCTCAGCTCGTACCCTTCCGGCACATCCTTGCGAAAAGCAGCTACGACACCCTGCGACAAAGGAGGGGGGGGGAGGGGGGTCCTACTCATGTCAACCCATGCCGTAGTCGTTAGACGGTTGATCTCACACCCCTGAAATGCCGGGACGGAGCGAAACGCCGGGTTTCCGCCCACCCAGGTTAGGTGCATTTCGCAAAGGATGGACCAGAAGCTGCCGTCACCCTTGCTTTCTAGCGCTCTACTTCAACCTGACTCTGGTCTGTGGATAGGGATGGATTTCGTTGTGTTCTTGAATGAAAAATGAGCAAAAAAGGGGGGAGAACTTCCAATTTCCAGCGGTGGAAATCGGCTTTGTGCGGGGATGGACTAAGCGTCAGTTGAGCGATGCATCACATGCGGAGAAAGGCAAAAAAACGCTGTTGCGGGAGAGGACGAAGTTTGAGAAAAATACGGCGGCACCATTATGCTGTCGGCGATCCGCGCAATCACCTACAACACACAGAGACACAGCCACCGTGTTATACCGCCAAGCATAATGCACGCGGCGCTTGCCTTGATGTAGTTTGCCCACTCGACCTTCCCGGGCTGGAGGTCTTGGTCTGCTTTGAAGCTCACCACCTCCGGAGCCGCGCTGGATATGATCCTGCAGCCTGCCGTAGGCATCATTACGTGTCGGGATGATCTCTACAGGAATGACGGTTTCGTGTCGGTTGGGGAGTATCATACATGCGGGGTAACTTGGTGCCCGCGATATGTGGCCTTTCGTCGGCTCTGCGCCGATTTCCCTCCTTGGTGAGGCAAACGACTGTTTTACACAGTTGAACATGTACTCATGACGCTGAGAGGCAGCAGTGGAGGCTAACTGGCCGGAGGCTGGGAACATTCTAGAAATCAATCGTTGGCATCAAAGTAATTCCGATAGGAGAAGATGACATGACCAGACAGCTGGCAGGGCTCAGAGAAAATCTGGTCGAATAGAGGCCAGCTAGAGAGCAATCTAAGGAGACAAGAGGAACCTCAAAATCAGCTTATGGGGAAGGTGTCCACAGCTCACACAGCCTCTTGGGCTCTACATGTACGCATCACCTCCATCAGCTGGTTTTGAGATTCCTCTTGTTTCCTTAGCTCGCTGTCTAGCTTGCCTCTCTTCGACCATAGTCTCTCTGAGCTCCACCAGCTGTCTCGTCATGTCTGGAGACCGACTACATAAATTACTATTTAGTACATGATTGAACATCTACTCATCTCTTTATGGGACAACACTCGAGGCTAACAGCCTGAGAGCTACTGTACGAACATCACGATCAGGATAGCGGTAACGGGGTCCTCCGGCGTCACTATACCGGGCACCGGCAATATTCAAAGTACAGAACGACTTGATATCCCAGTGTGTGCGAGCCGAAAACACCGGCACTATACCGNAACCCTCGCTCCGCGCAAGGGGGATGATCGCACCACGTTGTGTTAAAATGGTCAAGCACCCTCGAGGCAGTTACACAGTGCTTACAACTGTCTCTGGAAGTGAAAGCACCACAAAATAAAGTAATTCATACGCAGCTGTCATCCGTACGCAAGGGAGACCCCGGTGTTTACCATCGGGGTTGGGTTTTCGTCGCTTGGCAACGACG